CGCTCAAAATAACCGCCACCACCACTGTTTACTATTTCATTGAAATCATCTCCTAGACTGCATAGCTGCTGGCCCTATAAGTGAGTGTGAGTGATTGATTTAGGTTTTACGCCCAAGTCCCAGTTTTTAGGGATTTTTACCTGATCATCCTGTTGTCAGTTATAAGACAGGCTTAAAATGGAAAGAGAAACGGATCAAACGTGAGCACGTTGTACACATCTAGTTTTCTCTCAAGTTACATACAGCCTTGCAAGCACAGAATGAAATTGACAATGAGCAGAAATCTTTTCATTTAATATCAATTTTGCATTGTACATGTTTTAATAAATTCAAAGAAATGGGTGTTAAAGTAAAAATTCAAGACCTGAAAAATCTGTTCGCTGTGCGTGTGCAAGAGAAGTCCTGTGTGTGTATGTTGTTTGTTGTGATGATACATGTATGAGTTTTAGTGACTGCATTTTTGTGAATGGCTGTTCTTGTAATACTTGTCTGTTTGCTTTTTTTTCTGCCTGTGTTTGTGCGTGTGTTGGTGTGTGTGTACGTGTAAAGGAGTGTGAGAGCGAGCACTCAAAGAGAAACATGTTCGTATTCATCACCCATGGTGTTCATTGTACACATACTATACTTAAAATATTATACATGACATACATGTGTTGTGAAGGTATACTTCTTTAATGAGTAGCATGGTTTCGTGTGTGTGATCATGTGAGAGATGGAAAGAGCTAGAGGGGAAACAATAGTTGATATTTTGTCACCTTTGTAAATGTGATCAATGAATCAATGTGGACTATACGGGTGTGATCCACCCATGTTGTCAGGAATATGATGGGATATGTTGTCAGGGAAAGGGCTAATGAGTACATTTGTAGCATGGTTTTGTGTTTGTGATCATGTGAGAGATGGAAAGAGCTAGAGAGGGGAAACAATAGTTGATATTTTGTCACCTTTGTAAATGTGATCAATGTGGACTATACGGGTGTGATCCACCCATGTTGTCAGGAATGTGATGGGAAATATGTTGTCATTGTCAGGGAAAGGGCTAATGAGTAGCATGGTTTTGTGTGTGTGATCATGTGAGAGATGGAAAGAGCAAGAGGGGAAAACAATAGTTGATATTTTGTCACCTTTGTAAATTTATGTGATCACCATGTCTCTGGTCAAATGTCTCTACGGATGCCGTATTGAAAAAATAAAACTCTGAAGATTGACCTGTGTGTGTTATTGTTGTTTAAGACATTCAGACTGTTCTTGTTCCTTTTTACTTTCATGGTTGGTTTGGGGAGATGAAATGGAGTCCGTTAAAACTAAAACTGAAATCGGTGGGACTGGTCGATTTTCTTCTAAGACGGGTTTTCAGTTCAGAGAGGTTGCTCAAATAGCGTGAAATAAATGGGGAATTTATTTTCTTTCAGTTTACCAGTTTTTGGAGGAACCATGTCTAATGTCTGCTCTTACTCTTAGTAAGTCTTAGCGGACTCTGTGGGTGGTTAGGAAATAACTCGGGAAGCTTTTAACTAAATCTTATATATTTATATTATATTGGCGCTCATATGACCTTATGCAGTTGCGAGCGCTGTAAAACCCTCTTCTAAAAAAATATATATATTATATATTATATATATATATGTGTGTGAGGCAGCATGGTGGAATCAGGCTCTCGTCAATTTTTGGGCATGTAGAGTTATTGGTATTATCTTAAAGCTTGTTTATTTGTCTTTATATGGATGAAAAAAATATCCATTTATCTTAAATACAAGTCGAGATATTTGCGAATGAAGGAGGTGGGGGTCACCTATTTTCAGATGTAAAATTAGTGAGAAAATGGTCGCCAAAGATTTGTTATTTCCTTAGCTAAAGAGTCCGTGGTAACTAAAAATTTACATTTTTTGTGTCTTTAATCAACGTTTTTCAGAAAAATCCACACATAAACGAGTTCTTTAATGGGTATGAAAAGAGTTTAGCCGAAAAACAAAAATTTGATAAAAATTCACAAACGTGCGGAAAAATGCAAGTTTCTTCACTTTGATCATTTTGACGAGAGCCTGATTCCACCACGCTGCCTCACATAGGCCTATATAGGCCTATATATATATATATATGTATATATATATGATCTTTTCTTCACCTCTGTTGTATTTTAAGTCAGTCTTCTAGCTTTTTCCGTGCACTTCTTAGTTATTGTTATTGTGATGATGTGCATCTCTTTTACTTTACTCAAACTCAAACAAACTCTCTGTGGGTGCTTGGACATAGAGGGTGCCATTGCCAGGTCCTACTTCGTTACTTTCCCTCTGTTGTTTCTGTCTGTCTGTCTTACTTTTTCCCAGCACTAAATGATCATTATTGTGTTGACGTGCTGTTCACTTTTACAGAATTCCACCAGTTTGGCAATTTTTATCGAATTTTTTATTTTTTGCTCAACACCTTCTTTGTCCATATAAAAACACAGGTGAATTTAACTGAAAAACATTGATTAAAGGCACAAAGTATGTGAATTTTCAGTTTTCAATGCCTCTCAAGCTATTGAAGTTGCCAAATTTTGATGGCCATTTTCTCGCAAATTTTACTACTGAAACCAGGCGACCCCTCCTCCTTCAGTGGCAAATATCTCGACTTCTGTTCAAGATGGATGGGTAGTTTTTTTTCGGTGAAAGCAAGACAAATGAATATGCTATTAAAAGATACCAGTAACTCCACATGCCATAAAATTGACAAGCGCTTGATTCCACCACGCCGCGGAACATATATATATATATATATATATATATAAAACACATTTTGGAGTGAAGAAAAGTACACAAATAAAGGCTGAGAGAATGCAAGTTAC